TGTACATATTCATAGTGATAATAAATTATGTACTTGTACATATTTACAATTTTACTTTGCCCGGTACTTTGTTGTATCGATATCATTACGTAAAATGAAAAGATTAGTTGATATGATGGTCAAAACATTCAGCTGCAGCTCTATAATAGTCGTCAAAGAGAATAGAAGATAGAGATAACGGTAGAGAAGACCATATTAGACGTGGGCTTTTTCTTTTTTTATTTAATTTTTATTTAATGTTTTTAGAGTTTCTACGTCCCCACTCACTACAGTAATACTTACCTATCGATTTCAATTAATTTTTTTTTAATATATAGTAATTAATATAAAAGGAGACCTCCCGGCTAATGCACGGTCTTGTCATTCCCTAATAAAACGATTTACTAGTGATCCCAAACTCAAATGTATTACTAGTGACCATTAAGGAGTTCCACTATATTCCTTGTGGCTCTATCATCAGATCCTCGCTACTATGCGTAATGAAAGGGGCTCGTAAAAGAAAATCTAACGAGCCCAAACACGGAGAGTTTGCTAGTAGCCATTGAGGAGTTCCAGTATCCACCTCTTGGCTTCCTCATCAGATCAGCTTAAAGTTGCCAATTTATAGTATTGACACGTAAACAACACATAACTGCAAAGTTTTAATATGACAGGACGACCCAGCTCGGCAAAAACAAGCAAAAATTCATCCTAAGAAGTAAAAACATTTATTGCAGCGCCCCCTAATAAGTTACCACCTTACCATCCATCTAAGAACCAGCACCAACTGACTGAAACATTACTGAAAACCGCATTAAAATCTGACTATTCGTTTTGGAGATAAATGGTAACATTGGTTTGCACAAACAAACAAACATCTCTCGCCCTAAACGCATATACGTTCTCTGTGCCGTCGTGGGTAAAGAGTAACGCGAAAAATAGATTCGCGAGAAATAGAAATACTCGTAGATTACAAGTTCGTTATTGCCTTACGTAGCTAATTATCTATTATTATAATTATATTAGGCATATATAATTGTGGAACTCACAACAAAATTCAGCCATTATTTCTAATATAATTTCATTATTATTCCCTTTCATGTTTTTCTTAATACGATCTTCATCAAACTTAGATGAAGATAGTATACCTAGCGCTCCGCCCCGGCTTTGCACGAGTGCAATGTAGATACTACTAATACTATTAATGTGGTGTCAGTGTGGAATATTTAATTAAGTAATTATACTATTTTTATGATAGGATATCTACTGGACATCTTTAAATGCAATATTTATAGGCCCGCTCCGATCCTGCCGGCCGCTGCCACTCGCGACCGACGACGACGTACTGCTCGACGGTCGTTGGGGCCCCGCATTTTAAACCTCTAATATCTCGTAAAATATTCATTTTAATGATATGCTGTACAAAACAATTTTAATCTACATTAAATTTATAACGTATCTAACGTATTTAATTGGAATAATAATAATAATAATTTATATATTGTTTAAAATATGTAGCTTCGTAAACCACCCATTATTTTTTTCTTAATTAAAAAAAAAAAACATAAAAATGGTTACGGTGGGTTATCATTAGGAGATAGACATAGGAGATAGACACACCATGGCGGACTTTTTTTGTACATCTTTTTAAGATAAACAATGCCGTAGTACATTATTTTGGTCTATCTTGAAAGGTTTAACCAGCGTTTGCAATAAAAACGCACAACACATGTTTTTTAGAAAAAATCTTTGAAATTCTCGGATTTTCTCTACAATAATATGAATGATATGAATGTATTAGACATATAAACCTTAAGCACTAGATTGGTGAAAACCATTACAATTCATTGCTTAGTTTAAAAGATCTAAATGTACAACACAAAAGGGGACTTTATTTTATGCCATGTAAAAAAGATATATACATAAATATACTTGTAGGTACTTCAAAAATATATCCGATTCTGTCTAGTGGAATGAACTTCGCGATGCAACATGTTTTGTATTATAAAAAAAAACAGATCAATAAACAGTGTCTCTACCAAGCAAAGAAAGTTATCCTGTGAAAGTGACTTTTACTTAAAGCTGTATATTCGGTAGTCAGATAATTCCATAAATTCCACGAACTGCACAAACTTTGTCAAAGTTTTATGTGCAATTTTCTTACACTAACTTATACAAATACATAACGACACTAAAATCATAATGTACATATAAATAGGAACTAGGACTTACTTTTCTAGATTCCAGATTACACTATTTATTATTTTATTTTGGCATTTTATATAGCAATCAAAATAGTATTTTTTTTATATTTATTGATTTTTGTTTGTTTATAAAAATATTCTAAATACGATTTAGGTAAATTATATCTATGGCTCATCTTAAAAACAAAAAAACAGTTGTTGGCCCGCCGTTCAGAGTTTATGATATCGCCGTTTCTGTGAAAATAAAATAATCTAAATTATTTTTAAATCGCAACACCAAATCGCAATACCAATAGCATCAATATCATATGGAAATCAGCCTCTTAAGCAATATACTCGTATATGGATATGATATAAGTACTCAATCAAATCACTCAATCACTCATGACTAAAATTTTAACTTGTGTCTGATAACACAAGTCGCACTTTACTACAGATTTATTGTTAGTAATTTTTTTGTAAATGATGATTGACAAGCTCACCATCAAACAAATGAATTTGTTGATCGTAGGTTTCAAAGAGAAAAATTTAAATCCAATGAGGGTATTACATTACGGTTCGAACTTTAGTGTGTTAGCGATCAATCGCAATAGTGGGTTCAGGTCTTAGTAAAATTTACTTAAAATAAGTATGTGTATCTAAGTATGAACTTAAATATTTACTTTAACAATATTATTATTCTTATTATTGGGTAAAGGTGGTTGCAGAATTAGTTCTGAAATGGATTATAATTCCAATGCAATTAAAACACACACATTTACAGAGTGAAACAAAACAAAAAAGTTAAATAGTAAATAAAAGTAATGAACATTGGAACCAAGGCTTTACGTTACTGTTATATTTTGTGTTCATGAGTTACAATCAGGGTTGCCTAAATAAAAATTGTTTTTAATGAAAATGAACAAAGGAAGTTTTTCAAACGTAGACAAGCATGACAGTCTGATATTGAATCTATTGAGATCAAATAGGTACCACTGTAAATGGAGTTTTGTTATCAGTCAACCAACCCTCTTTGCGTCTAAGGCATTGATAAAATAAAACAAGGTAACAACGATCTAAAAATTAAAATGATTTGTTTTTTAGTGTTTTCATTGTTGTTATTACTAATAATACACTCATGATAGTTATCTTATGATTGACCATGTAGGTAATTAATAGGAATTACTTTAAGCCGTCGAACTGATATTTTTTATTAATTTGTAAATGTTATACCTACAATATTTAATTAAATTCAAACTAATAATAATAAAAATATATCACTTTATTGTACACCAGATATAAATAGACATAATTACCTTAAACTAGTTCAGTACAAGTGGCGGCCTTATCGCCCAGAGGCAATCTCTTACAGGCCGTCAACCGTGATACTTTTTAAATACTTTTATGAAAATGAAAAACAATTTTCTATTCGTCAGTTTGTTGGTTATTATTCCAAAACAGAAAATTTTCAGACCCGAATTCTATGACCCTCTTTATGCAAAATTTTGATTTATTTTTATCTCACAAACAGCCGTTTAATATCAAATCCTGTACTATGCTAGATAGACTGCTGATAACCATATTGTGTATTACTAAATACAAACATATCCAAAATAAGTTCTATCCATACAGAGGATAAATGATCGTGTTCATTACACAATTATTTGTCTTGAGTGGAAATCTAAAAAGAAACTAATCTGTCGCTAAGTTCTTTATACTCGTAGTAAAATCTGATAATCTTAGACCCCTCATCGTTATATTATCAAAATAAGTAACTACGTTTTTCCTAGTAAATATTGTTTATAGATACTTAATATGCGTATGAGTAGTTGGCAAATAGATACACGTATCTAATCTGTTACAAACAATACTATTGCTATTATATTATATATTATGCTTTATAGCGTTTCAAATTTTAGAGAAACTGAAGTTCAAATGAACTGGAAGGTAAGTACCCAAAATAAACAAATTATATTATAATACACGATTGATACTAAGCGCAGCAAAGGGAAATGTGCTGCTGATAGTTAAAGGTAGAAGAGTAAGTTCCAAAATAAGTTAAATTATGCAGTTACTCGATTGACAGCCACGGACCTCCGTTAATTCTTCTGTGTACCATATAAGACTTTACCTTCTAATCATCCGTATCTAGGAATATAATAATATAAATGTCTTGTTTTAATGGTTACATAATTTAGTCTATTCCCACATTAAGCACATTCAATTTATTTTACAGATTTTTTTTATTTTACTACTTACTCATTACAATAAAAATCATCGTAAATTTAATTTTATAAATTGGCTTTTAAAAGATACCAAACCCCACATGGGAGAATGTTTTGAGTGTTCTAAGTGTCCGTTCCATATATGTTTGTAAGTCACCCTCGACGCAGGTTCTTTACCGATATATTAGTACGGGAGTTGTCTTAAAAAATAATTAAGAAAGTTGACCTAAAAAGTTATTGAACGTTAGTCGAATGTAAAAAATAATACGACTTTCATATTTACTTCATTGCAAATTTATTTATCCCATAAAATATTTTTCCCTTGGTGCAATTTTATTATAGTATTAAGTGATTAAGCATTTATAACCAGTTTGTCTCTTATCCAGTTTGTCTTATTCTAATATATTTTTTTTACGGAAAACCCTGTCAAATTATCTAAAACACTATTATTTCTAAGCACTTTTAAAAAAAACAAGCTTCGAAATGATAATTAAGAGGCAAAAAACTTATAATTGTTGTGTGATCAGACAGGGGTTTTCTTTATTTACATGCTATATTTGTATATCGCAAAATTACATCTTTGAATTGCATCGAAAACTCTTTAATTGAGTTATCAATATTTACGGAGTTCGTAAATGTATTGAAGAACGTCAGAACCGGTGACGACGCCTTTTGGAATAAAGTAATCCGAGTCTGAAACAAGTAAATTGTTATTAAACGAGTACGTTTTGTACTCGTAACACATGCGTGACAACGGTCAGGGCATGACACAGGTTGTGAAAATATTTTGACCTATTACACGATATTATTCTTACGGATGGAAACCGTGTATGTGAGATGAAATCTAAGTATGTATATTCAATTTACATAATCTTACAAGTATTGATTTCAACAGCTGTGAATAGCCTACGATTATATAACTCAAAGTAGCTCAAAGTGGTTACGGAGGCCTTTTGGTTTTGGTTTTTAAAACTAAAAATAACTTTTTAAAAGAATTTTCTATTTATTAAACACAGAGTAAGCATAATATACGAGAACGCGTTTGGCCACCACAGAGTAAGCATATACAAACCGGTATCGTTATCGTGGCCTTCCTCTCCGACAATGACAAAACGAGTGATGTCTAGTATACGAGACAGAAGACCAATGGTCGGTTTTCCCTTTTTCCCATTCTCTGCTAACGTGTAACAATCTTTGGCAAGGTGTTTTGTCACAGGATCCTCAAAGTTAAATTCTTCAGTTGTTGAGTTCGGTAATTTTAATGGATTGGTTGCAAAATTACGGAGACTGTCTTTAGAAATGGCACCTACGAATCGTCTGAAAAGATAAATTACATATTAAGGTTAGTTGTTATCGCATTGTGAAACCAGCACATAACTCTAAAGTTGTTAATAATAGTTAGTTAGAAAAATGCCTAGTTACAAATTATGAAGATAACACCAACATCAAATCTTGGTACTCTAACCAAAGGAACTGAATGAGATGGGTGGATACTGAAATGCGGAGTTAGACAGGGGGGATTAAGCTCGCCTCTGCTGTTTAATATTTATATCAATCGGCGTATCGTGCGACTGAGCGGCATACATATTGGCTGTCATATTGACGGTACCTATGTTAATAATTAAAGCTATGCAGACGATATGGTGCTGTTCAGTCCATCGAAAAGTCGGTTGAAGAGGTTGATTTCGATCTGTGAGGCTTATGTGGCGGCGGCCCATGGCCTGGTATACAACTTGAAATAGAGTATTCTTGTTATATGTAAAGCCAAGCCCATAAGTCTCAACGCCATAGCACTAAATACCGTAAATAGTTTTAGTAGGTACCTAAAACTATTTACGGTATTCAGTACTATGGCGTTGTGACTGGCCACATTGTCACGAGCGACCTAAGGGACAATGGAGATATATGGAGCGCAGGGCATTGTCTGTGAGGAGCAATATGTTTGCCCGCAGGTTAGCTCGTTTAGCGAGGATGTCAAAGTAACCCTTTTTAAGGCGTTCTGTCAGTCTTTCTACACGACCGGCAATGTGGGTGTTATACACGCGATGGGCTTACAATGTTCTGCGTGTTCAATACAATAATGCTTTCAGGATGTTGTTGGGGCTGCCGTATCGCTGTAGCGCGTCGGGTATATTTGCGGAGGCTCGCATAGATGATTTCTCCGCAATTATGCAGATTAAATAACAACAGCATTCTGAAAATAATCGCTGCCAGACCGGACTGCCCATTCACAACGCGCGATAAGGAACTTCGTTCCAAAAGCCGTGTGGTGTCGTGGGACACCCGATAGGAAGGAAGTTGTGACGATCGAGTAAAACTGATTCGAATACAATATTTTGTGCTCAACCTAAGAACATAAATTTTAATTTTACTGAGATTAAAAGTAATGATTTCCTATATATTCGATAGATGGCGCTGAATGACTGATTTTTTTCCGTTTAGCCCCCTTTCACAACGCGCGATAAGGAACTTCGTTCCAAAAGTTTTATTATTATAATATCTATTTTTATTTAAAACGTAAATGTATGTGAAGATATGTAAATATCGATGACGAGTATCAAAACAAATGTGTAAACAGGCCAGTCTACGTGTCAGTATAATGGCATAATCAACTACGTCGAATATAATTCTGAGTTGCCATTGCAGTTGACAAAGCATTCAATGATGACGGTAGGTACTCTGATGAACGTATGGGCGTGATATCTCATAAACCTGCTTAAGTATTTCCTGCTTTATATAATGCGCTATATGCGTGCAATAATGTTGCAACAAACTGTTTTTAATGTAAATGAATTCAATATTGTTAAGTGTTTACTTTTTGTCATCGATGATTACGGCGATGTCTCCATCTGTCATAGCATCCACTGCTTCCGCACAAGTTGCATTTTTATTTAACCTTGGATACTTGTGGCTCAAAGTCAAATTAGTAATTGGTTGTTTCCACCATCTATAAAAAAATTGCAAGGAAGAAAAGATTCCCAAAACTATAAATGAATTAACAGCAAAACAGAAATGTAATATCATCATCATCAGCAGCCTTTAATAGTCCAGTCTCTCCTTAGACCAATAATATGAATATAGTTTTAATTAATAAGATCAAGTCGTTTTACAATTCGGTCTAGTTTAGCCTACCCGATATCAGTATCGGATAGACTAAACTCGACCAGACTAAATGTGACTGCTTCCACAAAAAACAGCTTCGTTTTTTTTTAGTTAAGTTAATTAGTTGTATAATGGTAATAAAATTATTTAGTTAACCTGAATGCTTAAAGTTGATGTTGAAATTCGAATTTAGCGTATTTGTACAAATATGTACTGGTAAAGGTAGGTGTATATAGTAGTCCTCTATAGCACATGAAATTTAAGTTATGAAAAACAGTTCTAGTACGGAAAACAGGTGTGAGATTTAATTTTACTAAATTTTAAAAATTACTAAATTTGTAACCAACAACATTTTTATGACAAGTCAATATTAAATATTTTCATTTCCGATGATGGCCTCTGGTACACCTGAGACCTCGGTAACTAGGACTCAACTCCTATGTACCACGCCCTGCCCACTGAACAGATAACCAAAAAATTTTGACAAAATTTTGCATGGGGTACTAAAGCCGGGTACGCACTAGCGAGCCGTAACCGTAACCGTTGCATGTACTGTTACCAAAAAACATAGTATATACGTGGTTCACAAACCTGGTGCGAGCGGTACGCGTGCCGCTAGCAGCGAGCTGACGATTACAAGATACTCATTCTGTAACCGTAACCGTTACTGTTACCAAAAATATAGTGTGTATGTGGTTCGCGAACTTGTAACGAGCTCTCGGCGCTCGGCGCTCGCAGTGCGCTCGTGGATGTCAAGAGTGAAGGTTGTAGCACGCTGCTGCGAGTCAGATATTTTCAACTTTTTATAATTTGTTTATTCGACATGAGTGAATGGCCAGAGGATACATGTCATCTGCTGATTGGCGCCTACAAGAAAACCAGCGTACTATTGAACCCTAAGGACAAAGACTATTATAAAACACATTTGAGACACTTCGTCTGACATCGTCGGGAACCAATACTGCGGATAGATACGGTTATCGTTACGATCATAGTGATGTGGACTTCCCGTACATACTAGAACCTCGTTAGGTACTCTGTCATTTGATTACAGTTACAGCTCTCTAAATGAGTACGCTAGGTTAAACCGTTCAGACGACGTCGTGCGCCTAAACTGTACACACGCGTACACACTAGAAAATCGTTGCTATTTCTGTTTAGTCACAGTTACAGCTCGCCAATAAGTCCTTGGCTTTAAAGGAACACAGAATACTTTTTTTTCAGAAAAAAACCTGTTTCCGAGAGATTCACTGAAATAATTGTAAAAACGCTCCACACCTATTATTAGACAAGAACATTACCTCATAGTACGTTCAGGAGGATCCATAAAAAGCCGCGCCTCCATCCATTGATCGGTGACGAATTTGGTCATATAGTTACGAATCCCATCGGGTAAAACAACAACAACATTTTTGCCTGCGCCGATGTTGAATCTTCTAGCAGCTTTTATAGCTGCAGCTACTGCACACCCGCTGCTTCCACCTAAGAATAAAAGAATATGGATAATAAAGCAAAACCGTAACTGACATTGTATTGTTCCTTAGGACTTAATTGCGTTAAACAGGTAGTTATTGATTATAATCCTATGACTCCTAAGTTGCAGGCTTTCATGGGCGGCGGTAGTAGCTTTATATCAGGTGACTCGTCTGCTTGTTTATATCCACATGCTTTATCCATCCGTCTCAATGAAGAATTAGCATGTTTTAATTGAAGTGAAAACATTATGAACTTGTTTGAAAACTTAACTCCCTTGACTAAACTAAGTTACGTTATTATATTGTATCAGAATGATAATGGTATTGTTCTAGAGTATAGTGAATAGGTAGTAATTTTTCTTCAATAGGCATGTACCATCTTCGTTTTCATCGTTATTTTACATCAGGTGACTTGGGAGGCAAACGTTTGTCTATTACTAACAAAAATATATCTACCACATAGGATTCCTTCTTCTTTTGCCAGTTCCCTTGCCATCAGAAAGGATTCTTGGTCAGTTACGTCTTCGAAGTGATCGACAATAGATCGGTCCAGTACAATCAAGTTTCCATGTCCTCCTATTCCTTCCACCTGAAATTATTATATCTGAAGTTATTAAGTTATACCAACCCGTGTTCTCGTTTCACCTATGACCCTCCCAAACATATGCCTAACGCTCAAAACCTGGCCACTGCGATCACAGTGCATCTTTTTAATTTTATCTATCTTAATATGTATGCTTCAGTAGTCCTGACTCACTGAGCCGTGTGACACCACGGAACCAGGGGTGCGAGATTATTACATAATAACTATATTAGCAGTATACAATTAAAAACATTTTAAACATTCATTGCTGTTCAATACAGGTCAGTTCATGACTTTTTTATATGTAGTACGAGTTTTTTATTCATCTGATGATGCCAAGACTTAAAAAGTAGACCAATAACACCAACGGGGCGTTGTAAAGATTAGAAATCTATGAGATTCACTTTGAAAACTACTATGGTTAAGCAAATGTAAGTTTGCGGGTCAATTACACAATGTTGAATGAAGAAATTTTCATTTTTATTGATCTTAATATATTTGCAATAAAGGTCCATTTCAACGTTTTGTTACAAAAGGTATGAATTATAATAAAAGCCATTTAATAAAAAACATGTAAAATATAATTCGAATACTGTTAGACAGTAATAGAGCAAGATTTATGAGTGATTGTAAATACCTACATAGATTTGGATTATAATGGTTTATAAAAATTTTTTTTTCTGCCTCGTAAGTAAAATTACAATACGTACCAGAAATGGATGTTCTTTACCAAATTTGTTGAACATAATCGAGCCCTCGGGCTCTCCCGCAACCACTAGGCAATCAGGGTAAGTTTCTTTTAATTTGAGCCCAATACCACTTATAGTTCCACCTGTGCCAGCTCCCATGACGGCCATATCCACTTTTTCCATAGCAGACACTATCTCCGCTCCAGTAGTGTCATAATGAATCCTTGGATTATTATGGTTAACAAACTGAAATAAGATTTGTGTTGGTTATGGTTGTTTATTTATTTTCAAAGATCAAAATACTAAAGAATTAACTATCCTATTTGAACTGTTAAGCCGTAGGCCACTTCTGGACATAAACTTCTCTCAATGACTTCTAAGACGACCGGTGCGATCGACTTGCATTCACCGTTGACTTGCAAGCTTCATAAGGAAGGTTTACTTAGTTATTAGATGTCCTTCCCTGCGCTGTTCTGTCTGTGGTCTTTACTCCAGAGAATTTTAGTCCCATTAGCCATCTTAGAGTCGTCTAATGCACAACTGAGATACTTCTTCTTGAAATATCTATTAATTAGCTAGCCTTTTATAACCTTCAAGAAAAGAGGCCGGCAACACGTTTTTGACTTCTGAGTCGCAGGTATCCTTTCGCGGTGACAGTCACTTTCCATCAGGTGACCCGTCTGCTCGTTTGCCAGACCAATAAGAAAATAGTACTTAATCATTTCTATAAAATGATGTAGAAATAGCTCAATTTTATTAGTAATTTAATCTGCTTGATACCTGATCCAACATGACCACAGTATTGGGCTTTTTGTCCTTAATTTGTCGAGCCACTTCTATTTCTCCACCCTTCAGCTTCAATACTTCGGCACCCATCAGTCGCATGGTGTCTACCTTCTCCGAAGAATTTTTCTCGTCCATGACTATTGTACATTTTTTTCCTAAAATAAAAGAAGAAACGTATTACACTTATTTCTAGTTTCATGAAAAATATTTCTAAATATCTTAACTAATAACTTATATACTTTTTTATTCGAAAGATCGTAAAACATTATTTTATTTTTATTTAATACTTTCTGCAAATACATTGCATAAGGCGGTCTTAATGCCATAGGCATTTTCTTCGAGTCAACCCTTGGGTGATGCAGAGCTGTGTGTGGCAGGTGTATAATTGAAGCTAATGAGATATTCTGAGATATTCTGAGGGGTCTACCAATAAGAACGTCCTGGTTTAAAAATTGAATGAAACACACCATTTTTTATGAAAAATGCATCCGATTGATTTATTTGATAGATCATTTTATGCAATTTATGTTTTAAATAATATATCGGCCAAATTACCACCGCGGCTCTTTTTGCACGCGGTGCACCATTTCGGCCGGTATGTCGACTATGGCTCGTCGAATGTTGGTTTTTAGGTCACGAATTGTAGCTGGATTATTGCTATACACTTTAGATTTAACGTAACCCCGAAGAAAATAGTCTAAAGGTGTTAAATCACACGATCTTGGTGGCCAACTGATCGGTCCATTTCTCGAAATTAACGACCCACCAAACTTTCCACGCAATAATTCCATGTTCACTCGAGTAATGTGAGGTGGTGCACCGTCTTGTTCAAAATAAAGGTCGTCTGCATCAATATCATCAAATTCCGGAAAGAAATAACATCGGTTAACATCGAGTTATAGCGCTCGCCATTCACAGTAACAGGGTTTCCTTCGTCACTTTCAAAGAAGTACGGACCAATGATTCCACCGTACCATAAACCGCACCAAACTGTTATTTTTTGCGGATGCAATGGTGATTCATGAACCACACGTGGATTTGACTCACTCCAATAGCGACAATTTTGTTTATTAACAAATCCATTGAGCCAGAAATAGGCCTCATCTGAGAAGATGATTTTACGATGAAAATCGTCATCGGCTTCCATCATTTCCAGTGCATAATCAGCAAATTCACGACGGATACAATAGTCGGATGGCTTCAATTCTTGTGCCAAAACAATTTTGTATGGGTGTAGGCCCAAATCCAACCGCAAAATACGCCAGGTGGTCATTAGAGAGAGCCCCAACTCTTGTGAACGGCGTTGAACTGATCGATTTGAATTCGCATCAACACTGGCCTGAACGGCTGCGATATTCTCTTCACTACGGGCATTTCTTTATCTCACAGGCACAGCAGTATCGTGGAGAGTGAATTCACTTTCAAATTTTGTTATTATGCGATTTATGGCGCGCACAGAAGTAGCACATTCACTATTCAGTCATTTATCTGATAAGCAATTTTGAATTTAGTGTTTTGTTATATAGATACATTAGATTTACATAAACATATTTTGTTAGTTACCCTCAGCCTATGCTTTTCCACTGCTGGACATAGGCCTCTCCCAATGATTTGTTAGTACTGTATAATAATATATATATATATATATATATATATATATATATATTATATATATATATATATATATATATATATAATATAATAAGAGATTTACAGATTAAACATCGCAGGAAGAATGAACGGTAGAGATAAATTATTAGAATAGTGCGCTATTTTTAATAAAAAGGACACTTCATAGTTCACAATTAAACATACTATTAAAAAGTCAACGTAATTAAAGTCTCTGCTTTTGAAGTAGTCTCTTTTAAGATAGTTAAAAGAAGATACATGGAGACATATTAAAAGAAATACTACCCAAAATTGCGGCATTAAACGCAATTGCAATGCCAGTATTCCCCGATGTTTCTTCGACAAATTCAGTGTTCTCCTTTATAACGCCCGCACTCTTAGCATCTTGCATCATGGCCACACCGATCCTATCTTTAATTGAGCCAGCAGGGTTCATAAATTCACATTTAACAACTAAAATAAAAGAATTTCAGTGAATAATATTATGTAATATTTAATTTTCAACAGTCAAATTATTAGGAGAACACAAAAATATTACTAGAAGTTACATTTTTTTAGGTGATATGATATAAGATAGCATCTAAAAAAGCCTACTGGTTAAGGCATTGGACTTGCGATCAAGAGGTCGTGGGTTCGCATCCTTACCAGTACTCTACCAACGTGAACACAAGCAATTTTAGCTTAGCTGGAGGGGTTAGCGGGGAATACTAGTTATTTCGGTTGCTAGTAAACCTTATTAAAAAAAAGCCTCTACTGCTAATATGAGGGTTTGCTGATATGCCAAAGGAGGAGCTTGTAACTAAGTAGGTTAACACATTGCAAAGTTAAGCAATCGTAGCCATGTCAGTCTATGGATGAGTGACCATTCTTAACACATTGAGACCCCTCCGTGCTTTGGAGAGCACGTTAAGCTGTCGGTCCCGGTTGCCATACTAACATCTGTGGCAATCGGTACTTGTAGTTGGAGCCCTAACAAGTGCGACAACAGTTTGTAAACAGAACTTCGATATTGCCAAGTACTTGGGTAATGGAGGTCTGATGGCAGTCGATCCGCTTAAAAATCGAAGTTCAGCCGTATCGTGGTAGTCTTAAAGCCGACCCTAACCGAGTTTAGGAAAAAGGCTCGAAGGAAGATCTACTACTGCTAAAATAGTCATTTAAAAAGGATTGCAAACCGTTTTCCAAATGTATTTCAAACCAAGTTTTACAAGGTTAAAGTTTGGACTTGCCGATATTAATATTTATTTTAATATTCTACTCTAGTTGAAAAACTCGCTTTTTAAAACCAACTATATTTTGAAACGGAAACTTACAAATAGCACACTCAACTCCATGTTTTTTTGGTATTTTGTTTAATTTTACAAGAGGTGTATTTCCCACGTAGTCCAAAATGCTGTTATGCACGTTTTGGTTGCGGCTGTAAAAAATTGCAGTCAATTAACTTGTATATAGGTAAGAAATATTTTAACGAAAATCTGTTTGCCACTTTCTTGAGTACCAATTCAAACGGACATGAAATCGGTTCACAAAAAGTGAAGATATCACATAAAACACTTTTAAAAAGTATTGATTCTCAAGATCAGAAGTCTTTATAAATATTAAGTAGTTAGACGCAACGTCCACTACCCATAATCAGTATTCAAGTTCTTAAAACTTCATGTCGTGTATATACTGGGTAGGCGTTGAACTCGTAGTCGCTTAATTGCAATTTCGATTTAGCCATTACAAAACTGGCGTTTGAAAACAAAATTAAAGTGACTTTTTTCATGGTCCGGTTATCCTCATGGGTCACCACCTCACCGGGGATTACGTCGAAGTGATATGTTCGAATTACACCGACTAAAACCACACGGTGTCCGGTCATTAGGGAATCTATTGCAAGAGAAACGGGTATACTCTAGGAAGGAAGTTTCATGGAACTCTAGAAGGCTTTTGTTAGTCAGTATCACCCCTAGGCTAGCGCTCTTGGACATATTAGATTATGTGGCGCTCTTCTTTGGGGTGGGTAAGTACTAGGCCTCTCCATTTCTTTTCCGCCGCCTTTTTACTGGTCATTTTTTTATGTTAGAGGGGGCAGACGAGCAGACTGATGGAAAGTGACCATCACCGCCCATGAACGTCTGCAACTCAGGAGTCACAAACGCGTTGCCGGCCTTTTAGGAAGGAGTACGCTCTTTTCTTGAAGGTTTGAAGGTCGTATCGGTCCGGAAATACCGCAGACGATAACCCGTTCCACAAATTGGTTGTGCGGGGCAAAAAGTGTCTCGAGAAGTGCACAGTAGTGGAGTGCCAACTATCCAGATAATGAGGATGAAAATTTTGCCGTGTGGAACGTATTAGTCCGAACAATTCCTCGGAGCACTCTCCATGATATATGCGATAGAGAATGCAGAGTGAAGTCACATCTCTACGTAACGCCAAGGTTTGGGCTATAGACGATTCGAGTCGCTCTTCGTTGGATGCGGTCCAGAGGGAGAAGCTGGTACTGAGGTGCCCCTGCATAGAGATGAGAACAGTATTCCAAATGCGGCCGGACTTGCGCCTTATAGAGCTGAAGGCGGTGGGCCGGAGTAAAATACTGCCTCGATCTGTTCAGGACACCGAGCTTCTTCGAGGCCAATTTGACCTTACCCTCTAAGTGACCCCGAAACTGGACTTCGCTTTATATCTTTATTAAATGAAGCAAATGAAATCCACGTTAAATTAGAATTACCTTACTTAGACCCCAAAAGTATTTATGTCAATACTACAATTTGTGCTTCGTGATCAAGATCAATCAAGAGAGTACATAACTGTAACAACTATAACATGTTTAAGAGTATTTAGGCATTTAAAAATGATATAATTGGTGTGACGCGCACAGCAGTATGATCATAGATAATTACTTACCGCAATTTTATAGTATTTGGATTGTCTCTTCTTGTTATATTTACCAAGTTGCTCATATTGCAAAATTTAAACCTCGGACAGGACAGGCAGGGTAGGGCTATTATTGCCGTTGTTAAGAGACTGTTACTTTATTTTTCTATGAACTCCTTTTATATTTTATTTACATTTATAGACATTTAATAAAAATAAGTAACCTATTCTTGATTAAGTAATATCAGATTTTTATTATCACAGTCATAAATTTTAATATTTTTTGATTAAGTATAATAATATTAAATAGCTATAAAATTTATAGTAAATGGTCAATAAATAGGGATTGAAAAATTATTTCCTACTCAAGCAGTTAAAAAGTGGCATAGCGCTAAACCTTAGATAACGAAATCACTTTATTCATTGACAATTGGAGATTGGCTTCCATTTCTGCCTTTCTGGTTCTCAGGGTGTTGTTCTGATTAACAAATTTTAAAATTAAGAAGTAGCGAAGTGAAGGATGTAATAGGATTGGCTTCTTTTGGCAAGCAGGCAAAGGAACAAGGTAACGCCGACAGGTGATTTTTTAATTCCATAAAAAAAAGCAATTATTTATAACCCACATGTGCTACAATGTAGTTATCACGTAATAAAATAAGTTTTACCTAAAAAAATGTGTCCAACCGAAACAGGGTTTTCAGCCGATATCGAAACTAAAACTATCATTTTAAAATTTCGAGTGAATACTGAAGTCTTCTGTTTTTAGTCATTTATCTGCTTATGTCTACATACCACCTTAAACCACTGTAATAAGTTAGACACACGTATTCATTCTAAAAAATTGAAAATGTATTCAGATAGGCAGATAAAAAAAAGTAACTACAAAGTACTAGAAATTCACCTGTCTAAATTAGCTAGATGGGTATATTAGGAATATATATTATAATATATATTATATATTTCTAATATACCTATCTAGTATATAGATATACTCTCATATTATGATAGGTATCTTAGAATAGGGGAAAGCACGGACGATACGCGTTTTCTCATAGTCAAAGTTAAGCAACTGAGATCACATTATTGTGTTTATTTGTTTTAATATTTATCTGCAAACAAATAAAGCCTTAGCTTTATTTGTTTGCAGATAAATATTAGGTAGATACCCTTAGGTCGTCATTCAAAATCACTATACAAATCAAAACTCGCACAAAACACTCAAAAAACGCTCGAAGTTAGTTTTCGCCTTACATAACTACGTTCAAGCGTTTCTTGAGTTTTGAGAAGCGTTCTGAAATACGGCCCTAAGTAATCTCTGAATTGAACATAATCTCTTTTATCTAACACTAATATATAGATAAAACTCAGCAAAACGAAGTTCTATACCTAATAATTGCATTCGAGATAAAACAATGTTAGTTACAAGTAAAACGAAACAAATACAAAATTATTCATGCATGGCTCTTACAAACCTACAAGATGAGTTAGCCGTGGGAGAGCCATGCCTCGACACATGTGGGCCAGGCTCAACCGGGGCGATAACAGGGCCTCACAGAAAACCGGTGTTAAGCAGTTGTTTCTTTGTTTTTAAAAAGTGAGAGAAGTAACCGGAGCCCAAACCCTCCTCTTTTCCCTGATTCTGGGCGGAAGGAATGAAAGGTCGGCAATGTACTAGTGACTTTTAAGTTGCAGGTGTCCATGGGCGGCGATAGTCACTTACCATCATTTGACCCCTCTGCTCGTTTGCCCCCAAACACCATAAAAAAAGATCACACCGGACAGTGGCGAACTAATCCAGAGTCGGTGTTCACGAGTTAGCCGCGAAGTTAATCGAATCGTCACTTTAAGAACACTGAGTTTCGGCGCAGTCGTAAGTTTCAGCCAATTTTGGCTAAAACTGAAACTCTAATCGAAACTCGATGTTTTGGTTGAAACTGGTCGAAACCGAACCTTCGGTCGATCACTAAAAGAAATATATCACGATGTTAGCCATGTTTGACTTGACAATCAGTGACCGTGAAACATGGATATGTTTTAAAAATAAAGAAAAAATAATCCGAGTTTTGTGCAGTATCTTTGTTTTTGGGTCAACAACTGAGGATATAGAAAATTGAAAAGTCCCCTAGTATTTATAAGGGGAGTTTGCAAAATCGCAACTATGAGAAGTGTTAGTAACAAGGTTAGAAAGGCGGTTAGAAGGCCAAATCTTGTAACAAAAGTTCGGTCTTAATTCAGTTACGACCAACTTTCGATGTCACAACTGTCATCTTTATTTTCGTAGTGTGTGCTATGCGCGTATATTTAGCACGTTTTCTTATTACACATTTGATTTAAAATTGAAAATGAAGGTGTAAATATTTTTGAAAAAAATTGGAACCAAGTCCAGATACTTTTTTTGTCTTAGTTGAAATGGTTTGCAAACCCTCATATTCGTTTGTGAATAAAAAATAGTGAATAGCTTGCCCTTGCCCTGTAACTTAATTTATGCAGTGTCAGTTTTCTTGAAAAATACAACGCTATTGGTTAGTTATCTCATTTATTTAATGGTATCAAAATATTAAAAACCTATAAAATTATTAACAGATTGTTGCAACTTTAACTACTACTAATAGACTGACATCTTGTTGATGCCACGTTATAGTTGGGCAGTTTTAATGGTATTAAAGTGCCCAAGTTTATCGTGGTGAGTGGAGGTCGTCACAGTCTATTAATTGCTCCTGGTGATTTCGTATTCATTACCAAGGTTTGTTTACCAATAGTAACCTGGTTAGGTTATATTATTCTTCTGAAATCCTGTCATATTGTAGCCACCTAGTAGCGCTAACATTGGTACTATTAAATTAGTTAAATGAGTCACATTGAATCAAAATTTAAAAAAAAAACATGCACTGTCTGAACGTTAGGTGTAATAGTGTCACACTATAAATACATTAATTTTAAATAATTTAAGCTATGTGGTTGAAATAAAAGTGACTGAAATAGTTACAGCTTAATAGCATGTAGAATTATGTTAATGATTTTCTATGGGAATATTTTTGTCCATTATACACATACATATATGTATCTACAAATATATAAGTGTGCTTATTTAGAAAATTTTGTTCTAGTTGAAGTGCAACCTTAAGCTTATCTTTATTACGTAAGTGGGATTACAAAACGGGGACAAATATGTGGATGTTTTTGTCAAAATTAAACAATTGTATAACCTAGCATAAAATAAATGTATTAGATAAATTACACAGTGTCCTGCACCTAATTTAATTTTACTTTGTTAATTCTAATAAAAAAAATATAAATGAATTTTTCATTATATAATTGTAATGAATACTCCATTACTAATTTGAAAAACTAGAAACTTGAAAACAGTAACCAATGTACCTAATTTTTTACAATTTTATGTCATTTCCAATTTCATGACTGACGTAATGAACGTTAAATAAATAATTTTAAGTTTAGGAAAAGTATTTTAATTCATAATTAAATCCACCGATAAAATGAAAAAATGTTAACTGTTAAATGTATTGTACCAATTTCTGCAAAGTAATTAACGACTACGACGTGCATAAATGTAGTCAAGGACATCATCTCCGGTGACCGCGCCTTTTGGAATGAAGTAATCAGAATCTGAAACAAGTCGTGCACTATTTATTAACCCGTCCCACATTTTGACAAACGTGACAAACCTCAAAGTTTTTATAGACACAATTTATTAAAACATGACAAGGATGAAAATAGCCTTTTCCCGCGGCTCCGCGTGTATGTCGGTTATCACGGTAAAAGTAGCCTATGTCCTTCCTCAAAAATACAAGTATGTAGATGTCAAATTTCATTAAAGTCGGTTCAGCTGTTTAGCCGTGAAAGCGTAAAAGACAGACAGAGACAGAAAGAGTTACTTTAGCATTTGTAATCTTAGTAGGGATAAGCACTTAAGTACCTACGGTTAATTGCAGTCGATGACATACTTTGTTATATATACCCTTATGTTAATTTAAACATAATGGTAGTTTATAGTCATCGTTAGTGTGCACTTCAGAGGCTTATTACAATTCGACCGTAATTTCACATATCACTCTTTTTTTACAAATTTATGGTAACGGAGTAAGAATACGGGTTTCATCCCGTGGGTATCGTAAGAGCCGACTAAGGGAGCAAACTGCGCAGGACAACAGCACTGCAAAGAGAAGGAAAACTTGACACAAACCCTTTTTTTTTTTTTTTTTTTTTTAACGTGTGGAAATCCCCTCGGACCGTCACCCCTCCGGGGTTTGCGGCGGGGTGGTGTGTCGGACTCGGACCGACTAAAACCACACGGTGTGCCACTCTGCGCCTGTAACAGGAGGGATCCGGGAACAGCTGTTGTTAAGACATCCGGACCCCTCCTAGCGCCAGCCCGCTCCTGGTGCGGGCTCCGTCTCGAATGTGGATGTTCCTCTCTTTAGGCGACGTCCGGCACACGCGGACGCCGCCCCCTCGCGGCTGGCCAACTAATGCGGGTGGAGGGGAAACCCACCCCGTCCACCCGCGGCCACACTCAGGGCGGCATGAGGCTGTGATAGGCGGGCCTCCGCCGCCCGGTTCGCCGGCGGCGGATCGGGTCCGAGTGGAGGTCGTCCTCCCGGGCCCTCTCCGCCGCCTCCTTCCGCGAGATTACTACCTCGCAGAAGGTTGCGACCGCGGTAAAACAACTGTCGCTACCGGCCATGGAGCGTACTACGGCCGGTAGCGAGAGATCCACTCCGATGACTGCAGTGAGGGCCCGGCGCTGCGCCGCCCATGCGGGGCAGACCGCCAGCGTGTGCTGGGCCGAGTCCTCACTGCAGTCGCAGTGGTGGCAGGCGGGACTCAGTTCCCTCCTAGCGACCGTGTGCAGGTACTTCCCGAAGCAACCGTGCCCGGAAAGCACCTGCGTCAGTCGGAAGGAAAGGGTCCCGTGCTGCCGCCCTGCCCACTCGGCGATGACCGGCTGGAAAGCCTCCACGGCGGCGAAGCCAGCGCGTGGAGTCTCCAGCCGGAACGACCAACGAGCCATCGTGGCTCGGCGAGCGGCTTCGCGCCACTCGCGCACATCCTCGGGCGGAGGGCGAAATCCGCTCTCCGCCCGGCAGTCAGCCACTCGCCGATAAACCTCGGCGAGCACTTCCGCCTCCAAATCCCACGGGGGAGTTCCGGCCAACGCGCACGCCACCTCCGTCGAAACGGTGCGGTAACCGCGTATGGCTCTGACCGCCATTACCCTCTGAGGGCGCCAGAGGCGTACCCTATTCTGGGCGGTCAGAGCCGCCGCCCACACCGGTGCACCGTACAGTGCCATTGACCGGACAACCCCCGTGTACAGCCGTCTTGTCGCGACGCTGGGTCCACCCATATTGGGCAGAAGTCGCCCTAGGGCGGACGCAGCGCCGACCAGCTTTGGAGCAAGCTGTCGGAAGTGCTCGTCGAAGAGCCACCTACCGTCGAGGATCAGGCCCAGATATTTCATCTGGGCCCGAACCGGTACGAGGACCGAGTTGACCACGATGGAGGCGCCAGGGGGTGGACCACGACGGGGCCCATGGAATAACAGGGCCTCCGTCTTATCTAGGGCCACCCGTAAGCCCAGCGCCTCAATGCGCCCGACCACCAGGGAGACTCCCCCTGTGGCCAGGCGCGCCGCCTCTTGGAAGTTTGCCCCCCGGGCTGTCACGAGGGTATCGTCTGCGTAACAGATTACACCCAGCCCGGGGGGGAAATCGGCGCGAAGGGCCCAGTCGTACCCTATGTTCCACAAGAGGGGTCCAAGAACAGACCCCTGTGGAACACCGCACGACATGGGCCGACACCTCAGATTACCTTCTCGGTCCTCGTACACGACGGTACGCTCCTCTAAATAGTCTGCCACCAGCCGCCTCAGGTACTTTGGCACCCCATGATAGTGGAGTGCTTCCCTGATGCAGCTGAATGGCAGACTATTGAATGCGTTGGCGATGTCCAATGACACCGCCAACAGCACGCCGCCACAGCTCACGGCCTCTTCGGTCACGGCCCTCAGGCGCAACACGGCGTCGACCGTCGAACGCCCCGCCCGAAAACCAAATTGGGCGTCCGACAGATCGGGGCCCACCTCGCAGAGGTGCCGGACGATGCGGGCAGAAAGAACCCTCTCAAACAATTTGCCCGCCTCGTCCAGCAGCACGATGGGCCTATAGGCCGCGACCGAATCGGCAGGCCGTCCCGGCTTCGTCAATAGGACCAGCTTCCCGCTCTTCCAGCACTCAGGGAAGCGTCCCGACGCCAAGCTAGCGTCGAACACCTCCCCGAGGCGGTCTGCCATGTGGTTGAGGGCCAGGGCCAGCACTCGGGCCGGTACCCCGTCTGGCCCAGGGGCGGTGTTCTTGGAACGGATCCGTAGAACAGCCGCCCCTACCTCCGATTCCCGGACGGGCGGAACATTGTCCTCCCCGTGCTCCCCGTCGTCTCCGGCCAGGGAGGCCATCGACGGGGGAGTGTGTTCCGCCCGTTGTGGGAAAAGGCCCTCAACCACTTCTCGCAGGAAGCTGGGCTGGAGAGTCTCCGTAAGGGGGGGGCCCGACGCGCGGAGCTTTTGTCGCACCGCGCGGTAAGGGCGACCCCAGGGGTCACGATTAAGACCCTCCAGCATCTCCTGTCTTTTTTCCTCTTTGGCGCGGCTAATGGCCAGCTTCAGAGTTTTCCGCGCCCGTCGGTACTCCTCATGAAGCCGGTCCTCCTCACCGTCTCCACGGTGACGCCGCCGACTGCGCGTGTAGGACCTCCGGGCACGTGTACAGGCCGCACGGAGGTCCGCCAGCTCCTGGGACCACCAGTAGACCTCCTTCCTTGGAGGCCGACGACCTCGAACGCGGGGCATGGCCGCATCGCATACATGCGTAATCGCATCGCGAAAGCGGCCAGCCCCCACGTCGACCTCCTCGGTCGGAGCCTGAGGAGACAGCCACGAGTGAATTATGGCTGCCTCCTCTAGTAGGTCCCGGTTCAGCCTGGCAACAGCCCACCGCGGAAAGCGGGATAAACGCCGCGCCACGTGACCCCTACTGGAGTCCTGGGTCCGGGAGAGCTCAAATCGGATATACAGGTGATCCGAGAGCGTCTCAACCTCTTCCAGGACACACCAGTTCCTTACTCGTGCGGCGAGGACAGGGGTAGCGAACGAAAGGTCCACTATCGACCCCCCCTGCTGTCGCACGCACGTGTTGGTGGAGCCTCTGTTGAGAAGACAGAGGCCCACCGAGGCCGCCCACTCCTCTACGGCCTCGCCCCTGGCGTCCGTCCCGGGGGAACCCCACGCAATGGACTTTGCGTTGAAGTCCCCCAGCACAAGGACGTGCCCAGACGCTAGTCGCCGTATCGAGGTCTCCAAGTTGGTCAGGAAAACCTCGAAGTCGTTCAAACTCCGGTTGGGGGAGAAATAGACACCATATATGGTGATCCCCCCCCACTCGACGGCAACATATCCAGTGCCCTTGTCTCTTAGCGACAAGGGCGGGGAATGAGCCGTCGTGGAACCGACGACTGCCACGGAGCCGTCCCAGTCACCCATCCAGTTTGGACGGGGAGGGACAGAATAGGGCTCCGCGACTACGGCAACACCTATCGACCACTGTGCCATGGTTTGCAGGAAGAGATCCTGCGCCGCGGCACAGTGGTTCAGGTTCGTCTGGACCAGGAGGTTGGAGACTTGATCCATTACTGGATCGTCTCTACAACCTCCTCCATGGGCGACGACGTCGACGCACGAACTACGTCGGAGGCAGCCTGGGTCGACTGGCTAGCCCCCGATGCTTGCTGAGAGATGCGGGGAGGCTTGCAGCCCCCCTGCCCCATCTGGTGATTGGCGGGCTTGTTACCCGCCGCACACACCGGGCAGTGAGGGGCGGCAGAGCATTCCACCGCCACATGCCCCGGTCGACCACAGCGGAAACAAAGTCCGCTGCAGTCGAAGCAGCTTTGGCACTTGACGCGCGTGTGCCCCGATGCTAGGCATTTGTAACATCTCATCGGTCTCGCCGCCAGGACTGTGATCCTGGCGCTCACGAAACCGACGAGCAGCCTGCCGGCGTCGGCCAATACTTTGGCCGACGCTACGGGACAGCTGACCCACACGGCGCCAAGCCCTCCTGGACCGGGGCGGATGGTGCCGACCCTGACGTTGTCCGCGCTGCACCCCGTCTTCTCCCGGATTACAGCGCGGACATCTTCGGCCGTCACAGAGTCGTCCAGGCCCGAGATGCGCAGCTCCGCGCACTTGGTAGGCCTGGCGATCTTGACACCATCTGTGGTCGCGAATAGACCCCGCAGCCTCTCAGCGAAAGTGTCCGCCGTCTTGGCGCCTTCAGCCCCTGGGAACTCGAGAACTCGAGCTCCCGTTTGGGCGAGGCGCATCTTCACCCCCGCCGTCCCAAAGTCGTTGGCGAGGCTGTCCCGGGCCTTTTTAAACACGGCCGCGTAGGACAGCCCGCCGTCCGCCGCCTCCGGGGACACGGTCACCACTACAGCCGCGGTTTTGGGCGGCTGCAGCTTCCGCGGCCTCTTTGTGGAGGCCGTTGCCACCGGTGGCGAAGGCTGGGCTTGGGCTGCTTTTTTGGCAGCCTTTTTGGCCCGCCTTCGGGACTTCTTGGAGCCCCTCGCCTCCTGCCAACCCTCGTTGGAGGGGGCAGGTGCGGAGGGGCCCGGCAGGGGTGTCGGAGTGGGGAGCGGAGGGAATGCCACTCCGCTCCTCGGCGCCGTTTTAGGCCCCGTCTTGGCCGGCGCCTGGGGATGTGCCTTGGCCGGCGCCTTAGCCGGTGCCTTGGCCGGCGCCTGGGCCGGTGCCTTGGCCCCCCTCCTCGGCTTTTGGGGAGCCGATGGAGTCGGGGCAGACGCCGCCGCCGCGTAGGAGACGCGGCCTCCCACTACGGGGAGCGCGGTCGGAGCGGCGGCCTTAGGCCGCTGTGTCGACGCGAGCGGGGGGCGCATAATCGGCGCAGGAGGCAGTCTCGCCTCCAGGCCAGCCAGGCGTCCGTCCAGCATATTCCCAACTGCGATGAGGATTTCTCGCAGTTGGGAGTCAAATGCCCCTGAGTTGGTGGTAGGGGCAGGCTGGGACGCGGACGGGGCTTCCCGCTCGGGGAGGTTCGCCTGGAAGCGGGCGAACTGAGCGCTCAGCTCGTTCACCCGCTCCGTCAGCTTCTCGTTGGCCACCTGCAGGCGAGAGACGTCGCCCGCTAGGCCCTCCACGACCTCCGACAAAGCGGAGGAGGAGTCCTTAAGGGCCCTCACAAACGAGCCCTTAAGGTTCACGGATTTGGTGGCCACCTTTTCGATGACGGCCACCGCCGCTTTCGCCCTCTCCTGCACGGACACGGGAGCCTGGGGGGCATTTCCCCCCACCGGCTCCCGAACCTTGAGCAGGAGATCCGCGATCTCCTCCTCCGCTACGGCCTCGCCGTCCACCCGTACGTTCCTGTACGACTCCGCGTTGGAGAACGCGGAGCCTGACGGGATCGCGACCGAGGCCGGTTTGCGCGCCCTCCCTCGGCGGCTGCTTGCCACCTTTGGTGGCATCATTTCGCCGGACGTGTCGGTTTCCACGTCCCCTGAGCGTCCGCGTTTCCGGCTGTCGCTCCGCTCCGCTTCCATGGCCTCCGCGCCATCCGATGAAGCGGCGGATCCGGAACGCAGCCGATCCGATGCTCTTCGGCTCCCAGTGACCAGAGTCAGACTGACCTCTGGGAGCCCCATCGAGATAGGCGTTCCCGACACCATCTCGCCCTCAGTGGACGACCCATCCGCTCCACTATTCCTCTTCACTTTTGCACCCTTCGTTTCAGAGTCCGTTTTGCTTGCCTGTTTTCTTTGTATATTTGTTTCCGTTCGTTTTTTGTTTTGGTTAGACTTTATGTGTTCCATGATAAATCCCACGAGTGGGGGAGAACTAAAGGTCCACCCGGGCAGAGATCCCCCATTACCCGGGCAAGCGTAAGTTTTTAACCCAACCGAGGGGTCCGCAGGTACCTCGGCTTGGAGTGCGCTCGCGACTGAACTTCCCATCAGCCATGCATCCCCTGGCCACGCACCAGAACACGGGATTCGGGGAATTTTTTAGAGAGGTTATCTTCCTCGCGGTCCAGGCGGTTAAGCCAAGACCCTCGCCCCCGATCAGAGCCGCGAGACTTAACCACAGCGCTCTTCTCGGGATTGCGATATGCCGACGGTTGACAGGGAGACTACGTCCCCCTGCCTGCTCGGTGGTAGTGTGAGTACACGCCGAGCCCGTCCTCCTTTCTCCACCGCTATCAGCGGAGAAACTGTGGCCCCTACAGGGCCCCACCATCAGGTTTTTTACCGAGGTTTCCTCCTCCATGCTCCGAAGAGCGAAGAGCCAGCAGGGCAACCGACAGACACGCCCACCCTGCTGGACCAGGCCTTGCCCGAGAGCCGATGAACGGCTGCCTCTTCTGCTAGAATATTGGCCGCTGGCGATAATCCTCTCCTCCAAGAGGACAAGGAGGAAACAGTACCATCGCCAGCGTTTCCAGGGTGCACCACGAGGAGGTTTTCTAGCCCAGCACCCCGAAACCCTATACCAACCCGTCTACCTACCCGTCAGCGTGGTATAGTAGGCCAAAGCCTCCTTTCTAAGAAGAGGCCTGTGTCCAGCAGTGGACTTTCAAAGGCAGATGATGATAACTCTTTTTTTCAGTTCTTATTAAAAATTAAATTATTTTTTTACACGAATTTTATATAAATTAATTACAGTATAAGAATATACAAAAACCGGTATCGTTATCGTGTCCTTCTTCTCCGACAATGACAAAACGAGTGATGTCTAGTATACGAGACAGAAGAATAATTGTCGGTTTTCTCTGTCATATTTTACTAATTTCACACAACACTTGAATATATCTTTATGTAACAGAAATATAGAGACCAGATGTAAGGTTGTGAATGTTAACAGGGGTCCGTAGCAGTTTCCATCAGACGAACCATACACTTGCTTGACAAGTAGATTCTGCAACATGTTGAAGACTGTATCACGTGTTAAACGTCAGTTCTGTAATTTTACATACGAGTTTGGTTTAACATGTCTTCAACCTGCTTTCATCGGACTTACATGAACCGAGTGCTCAATAAAAGTCACACATAATATTTAAGTTATTTTTGAGGTTATTTTTAGGTGGAAGGAATAGGATATGGCCAAGACACTATTATGACCCTAGATAAATCTGTTGTGGATCAGTTCAAAATAGTTACTGATCAAGAAGCCTTCTTAATGGCTAGGGAGCTTGCGAAACAAGAAGGAATTCTTTGTGGCCCAGCAATTGGGTATCAATACAATGTGATTGTGCCGGAGTCTTAACTCACAACCACCTCCATCTCTGGCGGGGGCACTCACACCTTTCTAAGGAGATGCCTATGTCCAGCAGTGGGCAGTGGGGTTTTATACTTGCTCATTAACTTTATGCTTAGGTGAAAGCGGCGGATGGGCAGTGGCGGAGGGAAATAAGTCGTTGTAGTTTTAGCTGATGGGATCCGTAAGTATATGACAAAAATTCGTCTCCGATCTATGGATGGAGGCGCGGCTCGTCATGGATCCTCCTGAAGGTATGTTTCTTATTAAAGGTATACCTAGTTATTAAGCAGAACTCGTCATGTTTAAGTTTCTTTTGTTTCTGTAATCATAGACATATTTAATTTTATATTTATTTTAAAATCAATTTAATAATAGGCTCGTTCCACCATCTATGGAACGAGCCGATTATCAGAGCGCTGGGAGTGTTGACAGACGGAGACGTTGCTGTTATCGTCGACGACAAGGGGTAACATTTAAATAAAAGAAAAAAAACACAGTGCCAAATCTGATTCGCGAAATGAAGTTGTGCTTTCGTACATACTTGTACATACTTAGTTGTGGCCTGAGTTATATCTGCGGTTGTAAAAGTCAACTAGTCGATAGAAATTGGCTAAACATACAAATGAGGTATGAAGCACAAGACTGTTGTTTAGGTCTTGGACCTGTTACTATTATCGTTTCACATGAATTGTGAACTTTTAATTCACAAAGCCAGCTAGGCAGCTATCGGTTATTGCCGTACAAATGCCATATAAATTATTTTGGTATTTAAATGTATTGTTTATCGAATAAAGATTTAGAGTTAGGACACTCGGTTATTTTTTGGTGACAAACTTTTCATTTCAAAACTTTTCAAATAATTTGATTACCTGGTTCAAGAGCACAACATTATCAGGGTCTTTTTTCTTAAACTGTATCCATTACTTGATCTGTGATCGTCAATACATGCGTTTACTATTTTTGCCGAGTAATTTTTTCCTTAAAATACACAAATAAAAAAATATTTTACCAAATAAAAAAATATTTTAACAAATAAAAATACACAAATAAATCTATCGAACCTTTATTTGTTTTGAATAAATCACAAAAAAAAAGTGTGAGAAGCTTTATCAGCATAACGAAGTAAACTTAAACCACTTAAATAAACTTTCACCAATTTAAGTCTTAAAACAATTGCAATTGTACCTGGTCAATAAATGTCATAAAAGCTCAGGACTCTAAACATACATCATCATCATCAACAGCCTTTAACAGTCCACTGCTGGACATAAGCCTCTCCTTAGAAAGGAGGTTTTGGCCTACTATACCACGTTGGCCAGATGGGTTGGTATAGGGTTTTCCTCTGCTCAAGGTTCGGGAGCCGGTGGGGGGAAATGCCCCCCAGGCTCCCGTGTCCGTGCAGGAGAGGGCGAAAGCGGCGGTGGCCGTCATCGAAAAGGTGGCCACCAAATCCGTGAACCTGAAGGGCTCGTTTGTGAGGGCCCTTAAGGACTCCTCCTCCGCTTTGTCGGAGGTCGTGGAGGGCCTAGCGGGCGACGTCTCTCGCCTGCAGGTGGCCAACGAGAGGCTGACGGAGCGGGTGAACGAGCTGAGTGCTCAGTTCGCCCGCTTCCAGGCGAACCTCCCCGAGCGGGAAGCCCCGTCCGCGTCCCAGCCTGCCCCTACCACCAACTCAGGGGCATTTGACTCCCAACTGCGAGAAATCCTCATCGCAGTTGGGAATATGCTGGACGGACGCCTGGCTGGCCTGGAGGCGAGATTGCCTCCTGCGCCGATTATGCGCCCCCCGCTCGCGTCGGCACAGCGGCCTAAGGCCGCCGCTCCGACCGCGCTCCCCGTTGTGGGAGGCCGCGTTTCTTACGCGGCGGCGGCATCTGCCCCTACTCCATCGGCTCCACAAAAGCCGAGGAGGGGGGCCAAGGCACCGGCCCAGGCGCCGGCCAAGGCACCGGCTAAGGCGTCGGCCAGGGCGCATCCCCAGGCGCCGGCCAAGACGGGGCCTAGAACAGCGCCGAGGAGCGGAGTGGCATTCCCTCCGCTCCCCACTCCGACACCCCTGCCGGGCCCCTCCGCACCTGCCCCCTCCAACGAGGGTTGGCAGGAGGCGAGGGGCTCCAAGAAGTCCCGAAGGCGGGCCAAAAAGGCTGCCCAAAGAGCAGCCCAAGCCCTGCCTTCGCCACCGGTGGCAACGGCCTCTGCAAAGAGGCCGCGGAAGCTGCAGCCGCCCAAAACCGCGGCGGTAGTGGTGACCGTGTCCCCGGAGGCGGCTGACGGCGGGCTGTCCTATGCGGCCGTCTTCAAGAAGGCCCGGGACAGCCTCGCCAACGAGTTTGGGACGGTGGGGGTCAGGATGCGCCTCGCCCAGACGGGAGCTCGAGTTCTCGAGTTCCCTGGGGCTGAAGGCGCAAAGACGGCGGACTCCTTCGCTGAGAAGCTGCGGGGAATATTTGCAGCCACAGATGGTGTCAGGGTCGCCAGGCCTACCAAGTGCGCGGAACTGCGCATCTCGGGCCTGGACGACTCAGTGACGGCCGAAGATGTCCGCGCTGTAATCCGGGAGAAGACGGGGTGCAGCGCGGACAACGTCAGGGTCGGCACCATCCGCCCCGGTCCAGGAGGGCTTGGCGCCGTGTGGGTCAGCTGTCCCCGTAGCGTCGGCCAAAGTATTGGCCGACGCCGGCAGGCTGCTCATCGGTTTCGTGAGCGCCAGGATTACAGTCCTGGCGGCGAGACCGATGAGGTGTTTTAAATGCCTGGCCACGGGACACACGCGCGTCAAGTGCGACAGTTGTTTTGACTGCGGCGGACTGTGTTTCCGCTGCGGTCAACCGGGGCATAAGGCGGCAGAATGCTCTGCCGCCCCTCACTGCCCAGCGTGTGCGGCGGGCAATAAGCCCGCCAATCACCAGATGGGGCAGAGAGGCTGCAAGCCTCCCCGCAGTTCTCGGCAGACGTCAGGGGCTAGCCAGTCGACCCAGGCTGCCTCCGACGTAGTACGTGCGTCGTCGTCGTCGCCCATGGAGGAGGTTGTAGAGACGATCCAGTAATGGATCAAGTCTCCAACCTCCTGGTCCAGACGAACCTGAACCACTGTGCCGCGGCGCAGGATCTCTTCCTGCAAACCATGGCACAGTGGTCGATAGGTGTTGCCGTAGTCGCGGAGCCCTATTCTGTCCCTCCCCGTCCAAACTGGATGGGTGACTGGGACGGCTCCGTGGCAGTCGTCGGTTCCACGACGGCTCATTCCCCGCCCTTGTCGCTAAGAGACAAGGGCACTGGATATGTTGCCGTCGAGTGGGGGGGGATCACCATATATGGTGTCTATTTCTCCCCCAACCGGAGTTTGAACGACTTCGAGGTTTTCCTAATCAGCTTGGAGACCTCGATACGGCGACTAGCGTCTGGGCACGTCCTTGTGCTGGGGGACTTCAACGCAAAGTCCATTGCGTGGGGTTCCCCCAGGACGGACGCCAGGGGCGAGGCCGTAGAGGAGTGGGCGGCCTCGGTGGGCCTCTGTCTTCTAAACAGAGGCTCCACCAACACGTGCGTGCGACAGCAGGGGGGGTCGATAGTGGACCTCTCGTTCGCTACCCCTGCCCTCGCCGCACGAGTAAGGAACTGGCGTGTCCTGGAAGAGGTTGAGACGCTCTCGGATCACCTGTATATCCGATTTGAGCTCTCCCGGACCCAGGACTCCAGTAGGGGTCACGTGGCGCGGCGTTTATCCCGCTTTCCGCGGTGGGCTGTTGCCAGGCTGAACCGGGACCTACTAGAGGAGGCAGCCATAATTCACTCGTGGCTGTCTCCTCAGGCTCCGACCGAGGAGGTCGACGTGGGGGCTGGCCGCTTTCGCGATGCGATTACGCATGTATGCGATGCGGCCATGCCCCGCGTTCGAGGTCGTCGGCCTCCAAGGAAGGAGGTCTACTGGTGGTCCCAGGAGCTGGCGGACCTCCGTGCGGCCTGTACACGTGCCCGGAGGTCCTACACACGCAGTCGGCGGCGTCACCGTGGAGACGGTGAGGAGGACCGGCTTCATGAGGAGTACCGGCGGGCGCGGAAAACTCTGAAGCTGGCCATTAGCCGCGCCAAAGAGGAAAAGAGACAGGAGATGCTGGAGGGTCTTAATCGTGACCCCTGGGGTCGCCCTTACCGCGCGGTGCGACAAAAGCTCCGCGCGTCGGGCCCCCCCCTTACGGAGACTCTCCAGCCCAGCTTCCTGCGCGAAAGTGGTTGAGGGCCTTTTCCCACAACGAGCGGAACACACTCCCCCGTCGATGGCCTCCCTGGCCGGAGACGACGGGGAGCACGGGGAGGACAATGTTCCGCCCGTCCGGGATTCGGAGGTAGGGGCGGCTGTTCTACGGATCCGTTCCAAGAACACCGCCCCTGGGCCAGACGGGGTACCGGCCCGAGTGCTGGCCCTGGCCCTCAACCACATGGCAGACCGCCTCGGGGAGGTGTTCGACGCTAGCTTGGCGTCGGGACGCTTCCCTGAGTGCTGGAAAAGCGGGAAGCTGGTCCTATTGAGGAAGCCGGGACGGCCAGCCGATTCGGTCGCGGCCTATAGGCCCATCGTGCTGCTGGACGAGGCGGGCAAATTGTTTGAGAGGGTTCTTTCTGCCCGCATCGTCCGGCACCTCTGCGAGGTGGGCCCCGATCTGTCG